GGAATAATAAATACATATTGATTTTAGTATCTAAAACCGCTGTCTCGCGTGACAAAATTGTATCAAAGGTAACGAAAGAAGACAGTGGACACAAAATGGCTCAAGTGATGTGCGGGTACACTAATTTCCTTTATTAAATTACCAGAATAACAACTCAACACAACAAATGTTCATGTTTTCCAGGCAACACGAAACGAGCTGTTTTTACTAAGCTTCGAATGCTGATCACAAAATCTTTGTATTTGCATGCAAGACATGCGTGACTTAATTTGTTTACAGACAAGTAACGTCTACGAATAACACAACAGCTAACAGAATGTACAGAGTATACACAAAAGAATGGTGCAGTTTCAAAAGTTAATAAAAAGATTATTTCTCACCTTACACGGGCACAACAAACACCATCAGCGGCGGCAACTGTCCAGGTTTCTCATGCGTTAATTATAATCCTTCAATGTGTGCACCCTGGGTCACACAACACACATCCACACGGTGGAAAAACACGATTGAGAAGCACTCGTACATTCCTGTGAAAATGGAAGGGAGCTCCGTCCAGTTGTAGAATGTAATCGTCATAATTGGTATTCAGTTGGGGTAACAACCAGCTTTCCAACATGTCCAAAAATGCACCATTCTTTTATGTATATCCTGTATACACATCCTGGGAATGACGTAACTGTATTGGACACATTATCTTTCTAAAGAGAGAGTTTCGTAGTTCTGTGTACACCGTCGTGGAGCACACCGTCCCACTATGACTATTTTCAAAGCACTGGGTTTGTGTTATGTCGTTTCATGCACAAATTTATGTTGTAACTTTAAATGAAATTTTGCCACTGCTTTTTTGTATTATTATTCTGGTTCACTGACTTTACAAAACTCTTCATTTCTGAAGATATTTTGTCCATCACCAAATACTCCTTGCTTGTCAGTATTTGTTAAGTAAATATATCGAATGAATCAAATCATAAAAATTGATTTTTTTTCCCTGCACAGTGAAAGACGACGAGAAAATTCAACTGGTGTCGTGAAGGTTTCTGACAATGTCCTTGACATTACGTACCCAAATCGCAGTAAGTAAACCTCTCTCGACTAAAATAAATTAAAAGGAAAATGTTACAAATATTACATGGCAGGTAAAGCCATAATGATGTGAAATAATTTAATACTTATCACGAATATTCTTCGAGGTTACAATTTTCTAACATCGTGTAGGAGCTGAGGAGAAGTACGAATATTGCATTACTGTTAACTTACATCCGGAACGAAACGTGAGCCTCCCAATGCACCACAACACTTCATTATTCTGAATTAAATTGTCCACTGTTTTTATTTTATATACGTATTTACTTTCAGTCGCCATATCTGATTAGATATCTGTTCGTGTCTTGTGTTACTTTGCGCTTCCCGTCGTCAGAATGTGTACTGAACTCTGTTCTCTTACGCAGATGAATGGTCGTCAGCGTATTACGTAGCTGCCACAGATTACGATCAATACTCGATAGTCGTTGGCTGCCCAGAGATAACAGGCACAGAACGTAAGTACAGTGAGCCTTAGGCACAGATGATATAACAACTGCGTGATCTGACCTTAAATGATGACAGATGTGAACCGAAGGATGCTAGCCACATCTTCCTGCATTACGTAAATTATTTTTTTACATATCCACGTTACACATGTGTATATGTTACATTCAGATCTTCATTCTATACGTTAATACATATAAACAAATAAATAAACAGATCTACACTACATAAGCACATATTTGCATTTCATATAATATCTATATATCTGAACCTATCAGCATGACTTACAGGTTAGGTTATGTTAAATTAAGTTAGGTTAGAAACAGGTAGCCTATATGATTTAATATTGTTTTCTGTCCTCAGCCAATGTGTATGTTATGTTCCGGAGTAAAAATCCAAACGAATTAGCAAGAAAAGCGGCTGAGGATTCGTTGAAGACCTACAATTTGGACATCAAAGATTTCTACAAGGAATGTTAACAGCTCGGCGAGCGGGCACTCGGCACAGATGGGTCTTAAATAGCACGACGTAGAAATGACTTTGTAGAACAGCACAATGGAGACTTATCCTTATCGAACGCTGCAATGAGAAAATGACTAAATGGGCATATTCTTTGGCGTAGCCAGTCGTATTTACACATGTATTCACTGTTTTGATCTACTGTAAAATAAATAAAATTTACAATTCTGAAATTCGCATCTCTTGTCGTCTGTACATTACATCGAAGCCTCAATCACAAAAGCCGATGGCGTTGAGTCAATCGGCATGTGAGTCTGCAACCCACGGATTATTTCTTAAAAATAAAAAGAACCTTTGGCTCGCAGTGGGGAGTTTTCTAAATTTCGGTGGCCGAAATGGGCAAAACATTATGTACAACGTGTTTCGAATTACAAGCATTGAATACAAGGACCGTGTTCGACTCCTAGAATGAAGCCCAGAAGCTCATGTAAACATGCAGATGCTTTGTTAACGAGAATGAACATTGAATGAGGCAAGTAACGTTGCATTTTAAGGGATTGGTTAGCTCTCCTGCCTCCTATTCGGTAGATCTTGGGTTTAAATCTCGGCCTGAGAACTGTTATCCTGAGGTCTATCGTGGATTTATTCAGTCCCTCCAGACCATTTCCCTAAACAGTACTTTAAATTAGGCCACGGTAGCCTCCTTCCTCATACTGTCCAATTCATCACATCCCACGCCTCTCATTCCACACACTGAAAGCGTCGTTAAATAAACTGTAAATAAATAAAAAACGTCACATGTAGGGTCTGAGGTTCTTACGGCGGGTAGTACGAAGGGAGCGAGTCCATCGTCAAAGTCACTGATGATAGGTGCAGTAAGAACCTCCGAAACATCGGCAAACTTCTACCAGACTACAAGGCGCTGCAACCCAGAAGACAAGCCATCTTCATTTCTACAACTTGCTTATGCACAAGTAACACTCCCCTGTGTAATTCTTAGTTTTATTTATTTCATGTTCCTGCATATACGTAATACAGTATTCTTGCTATCACATGATACTCCTTCTTTTCAGCATCAACAAGGTTCTTCAACTGCTGAGTGAATTCACCCGGGTTTTTTTTTGTAAATGAATATTAGAGTGATGATTGAGATTTGACGCAGTTGTAAATCTTTTGTTACACACTGTACACAGATATCGTATATATCTTCGACTTCCAAACTGCTTCCTTTCTGATTCTTTTTCACGTTCTTCATTTTTTCTTATTAATTGTGTCCGTCTGTGTTTTCGTATTCATTCTGCTTCTCATGCATGAACTGGATTCGGAGAAATCATTACGGATTCAGCGTGTCTGTCCGTCCAAATGATCCAACTCCAGAGAAACTTTACAGATTGTGATGAAATTTCCCATGAAGGTTTTAATTCACAACCAGCGGTCTTGTAATCAGCAATCCATTTGGGGCACCTAACCTCAAACTTCGAGGCACTGCTCACTGAATACAGCCTATGTCATCGGTATCGCGGGAACTTGCTTAAATACCAAGAGTTGCAGGAGTTCTACATTTTTATTCAAATACCTTGTGCTTCTGTGGGTTACAGCCCGACTGCCTACAAGCAGCTATTCCTTGAAAAGGGTTAGTCCAGCGTCAGGTAGTATAGCAAATTTAGGTACATACACTTCTCAGCTTCAACAGATGATCCTGCTTCTACCACTTCTCAGCTTCAACAGATGATCCTGATTCTACCTCTGTCTGTAGGTAAGCGGAGGGGACGGTAATATTTAAATATGAATAAACTGGTTTTTAAATAATTCCTCTAGACAAAAGAAATGCCTACTATTATGCGTCATACACCAATACCTCTCTTTTGCCGACTATAGAGAACAGGCACATTGAAAGACTTTCATCTGTCCGCCTGTTATACCCCGTAGTGGCATGCTCCTAGTTACTTGCGAGATATAATACTAATGCTAGTACAAATTTGATTCCTCGAAATATAATGTGAACCATGAAAGGAAGAGTTTGGAGTATTCTATGGGAGAAGAAGATATCAGGTGTCGAACTATCCAACCCAAAATGGGTCTTGTGAAGCTTTGTATGTGACTAATGCTATGCTCTCCATGTACAATCATCTGCAAAATATTTTGACACTTTCTTTTGAGTAATAGAAATGTATGTTCCAAACACTCTAATGCCAGTGAATGACAAGACCAATAAATAAATAAATTTTAAAAATATTAATTCTGAGAGGTATAGGGATGTACAAATTATGTTACAATTCTACACAGAAACTTTATTGACAAAATTCAAATATTGTGGCCCATACAGTGTTCAAACAGCTCAGCCAACTGCTGGCAGCTTAAACATGTTCAAATGTGAAATACAGTCAATACAGAAAGACAGCGATGTACGAGAGAACCACAGAATTAATGTGAAACATTAACGTCACAAGAAACAAACTGTGGGGTGAAGAGAATCTGACAAAATATATAACACTAAATAACTTTGCGATGAAAACAAATACTGATAAAAAGATTAACACATATCAACTGAATTATATAGTCCCTTTGCTGGTAATCATTTAATATTTACACTAAGAAATCAATTCTGTATCATATACATCTGTTTCAATGTAACTGTCAACGAATCAATACATTAAAAGTATCTGGTTTGACCTATAAAACAATGTTTTTGTACAATGTTAGAACCCAAAATTTCTCACAAAGTATCACAGTCAGAAATGGAACATGTGTTCCTAGCATTGGCACCACTTTAAACATTACCAACATTGAACAGTACATCTAAAAGCACCATTAAAGGTAAACCGTGTACCACTACGTTCAGTACATGGAGGGACACAATGATAATCCAACTACTTAAGCTATTTCTAGCAATAATAAGTACTGTCTGGTCTTCATGCCCTTTTTAAATAACTGCATTCCCTAACAGCTGGAAGGACGACATCAACATGTAAACTGGAACGGAAAATGTGAGAGTGGATTTACACGTGCGAACGCAGTGTCATGATCCTTCATTTAAAAGTAAAAAAGAGGAACCTGCAAACATGGTCACATGCAGTCCAAGTGCGCTGTTTCAAACACTGCACACCTCACTCATTTATTGCACATCTAAATATACTGTTCCAAAACTAATTGCACGTGACATATCAAACTGTATATTGCACAAAATTATTTTAACAGTACTTGAACTTTTTGGATGTATTTGTCGCACTGAAAAGACATTCACATGAATATTACATATCTTGATAAGATCTAATATATTTGTCAGAGAGGTTCTTGGTATGATGATCAAGTCTGGGGACTCTGTTATGTCAAGTTCACATAATGTACGGATTATAGTCATCCAGTAAAAAGTAAGCTGTCCTGCTACACTCCATGGAGGCACTTGGGAAGGAGAGGCAGTATAGCTCCTAGTCATTCTTGACCTCAGTACTAGATGGGGGTGAGAGGTCAGCATCATGTCCTGGCCACGCTTTACCCACAAGAAAAGGACCACCAGTGCATGTGGGATTGGAGAATGGTTGTGACTCAGAGCGAATGTGGATGCAGAGGCTAAAAGAAAAATTGTTTGTCCCTGCCAGGGATTAAACGGCAGACACCCAGTTCATAGTCAGACACTCCCTAGTTGTACAGTACAAACGAAAATTAAAATTATGTGACTTTTAGTACAGACCTCCTAATAAAAATATCATCAAAATTTATCAAACAGCTTTGGTACGAAACTCAACATCTCCATCCACATCAGTGTCAAGCATTTTGAGCAAAGAACACAAAGCATATACAGACTCTGAGTTTCTCACGGTGGCAAGAAAGAATATGGCTGTCTTATGAGCTTTAGCACCATGTTGTCTGGTAGAGAAGTTCATTGATGTTTCTGAGGTACTTGTGTCCATCATCAGGGTGAATACTCATCACTCTGACATGGTGCTATAATCCAGAAAACTCACAAAGTGTTTTAAAACTGTGTGTGTGAGTGCACATGGAAACATCTGTATGTAAATTTGAAATTACTCTTATATAAATCATTAGCAGGTTAAGGAATGCACAAAAATGATGGGATTTAAACATTCAAACATTAAGCACTGCATATCAGTTTTGTTACTCATTACATAAAACCCATGTGTTACACCACAAACCAAGAATAAATAACTCTAGGTGACAATGAAAATGAAGAACTGCATAAAAAATTAATAGGATGATAGAAATTGGCTATATTTAATGTACCAATGCAGTTATAACAATGAAATAACATGGTACATGCAGTGAAACACTTCAAGATTCACTGTTACATAAAGTAGTACATTTATTGGCCACTGCAGGACTGCCACCATCCTTAATCTAAAATGGTGTCCTACTGCCTACATATGCTAAAGCAGTGATTATGGCTCCAGCAGACTGGACGGCAAGAGAGAGTCTAAAATACAGCCCTAGTACTGTCTGTGGTTAGAGTGGCGATGATGTAAATCATTGGATGAGATGATCATTAATAGTAATTAAGACTTAAATTCAATCTCTTTCCTGTGATCTTATTAGGCATCACAAAATTTGTAAATTAATATCAGGTTATACTGTTACATGCATTTGTTTCATTAGCTTTCATATTATGGCAGAAATGCACACTTTGTTTCCAAACAGTTTGGATTACAATTCTACTAGAATATTGTTAAAGTTAACAGTTTCTGCACAAACTTCCAAAGATTACAGACACTGCATAAATTTCAAAATTACTGCAAACATTCCATTTATTGTAAAAAATTGAACACAGCACACACACGATCCAATAAACTGGACTTATATGGCATACACTACACGTATTCCTGACGTAACAGTTCATGAAATTAATTCCAGTATCACAACAATAAAGTCTGAAAAGCCAAACCATGAGTTCTGAGCTAAACTCACAAGGCCAACTTTCCTATTGAATAGATTTTCAGTTCTACAGACGTTCTTAATGTCATGTAGCCAATATAAATGTATCACCCAATAACAAAATGTAATTTATCTCATGCTACCATCAGAGGTCATCAGTTGTATGAGTGGGTAAAATTTTAAAATAAAATGTACTAACGTTCAATATATTAAGAGGCAGCTGCTAAACTTTGCTAAAATTTGGGAGGCTGAAAGTAAAAACAGTAAAGCTATACCCCTATATGCCATGTAGGCACTTGGTGGCAGAGGGAGACACCATGCGGGTGTTACAGGAAGCAGATCGTACCCCCTATATGCCATGTAGGCACTTGGTGGGAGAGGGAGACACCATGCAGGTGTTACAGGAAGCAGATCGTACAATACTAGAAAGAGAAACATCAGGATCCCTGGAGTGGAAGCTATACAGAAGCACTGTGCCTATTTAATCAGCAATTTCAGTTCTGAAAATAAAATCACTGATACTTGAGAGTATTTTACAAACTTCCATGTCAATATTTAATATTCTGAAATTATATTCACCATCATAACAGCTTAATTTTCAAATTATGGTAAGTTTCCAGAATCAAAATTCAGGATGTTTTCTTTAACCATGTGTCCCCGAGATTCCTACTGTGGTCTGGTGGACAATTCTATGATTCTTTGCAATTTTCCAGGCCACCACTGGACTACAGAGCATGAAAAAACCGAGTAAATCTGAAAGACAGACAGAGATAACATGTGGTATGTTTTATGCCAGATAAAGGAAATAGTAGAATATAACTCAAAGTTGTGGTAAAATTACTAACAATTACAAGAAAACAAGAGGGTAAAATGCTGTAACATACAGCAGACAAACTAGATACGAGTGAACTTGGAGCTTTTAAAACTGATGCCTCTAAAAGCAGCGAATAATAATAAGAATAATAAAAAACAGATAACCCAAAATATTTCATTGGGTGCATTAACAGTACTTCACAGACAGTTTTACCACTTTTACACAACTGGCATTATTTTGAAGAATAGTTTACAGTCATCACCTGTCTCTGTAAACTGCTTAGACTCCTCATCACAGCAGTAAAAATTTCACTCAATTCCTCTCCTACCTCTCCTTCACTAACAATGTCTGTCATGCGCTGGAAGCCCACTTTACACACGTCAGTCTGCAGCCATTCTTCAACATTTCTTTGTTGATGCTTTCAAACTTCTTATACGAGCACACGCAATGTCAAGAATTTCTGACCTGCCAATTTCTTTGTTAGGAAAACGACGCAAATCATCATCATCATCATCATCATCTAGCTCTGGAAGAAGCTTCCTCTATGACTGAACCAGTGTCAGTGGATTCATGGAAGACCATGCCCCAGATACAACACAAATATCACTGAACACTCTTTTTTTTCATAACACTATCACGCTGTCATCTTCATTGGCAGAAGTTCAAAAAATGTAAGCCCGGTAGCATCATTTCATGGACAGAATCACTCAATTTCTACCCCCATAAATTTTGACCAACTCTGTTGCCCATTCTTCAACCTCAAATTTTTCAAAAATAATACAAGCTATTGTTTTACTGTCAGTACAGTGTTCTAATATTTTCCAGCCATTTTACTTAGGATCCACAAGTGTTATCCAACACTTTCGGATAAGTGATGCACAATACGGATGTAAAAGAACTGACTGTAACCTAACCTAACCTAATGTTGGAGAAGACCAGCAGACCTGTTCCATCCCCTCTCACCAGTACTGTGGCCGCTGGAACAAACATCCCTGCCCTACAACCAATAATGACTGTAAAGCACCAAAAAACATTCTGTTCAACCATATATTCTACAGACTCTCCAAAAACTAACCCCTCTGCCCTCTGAAGAAGGCGTACAAAGATGTCAAAAATCCTAGAACACGCGTCTACATATACGTAAAAAAGCACACAGATAATCAGGAGTTCACTTCTATCACTGTCAATCAGTTAATAAGCAGTACATGTAGACAGCACGCACAGATGCACAGGTACAAGTGTATTAAAAAAAACCATGCCATAAAACTGTAAGAATATGTACCAAAAACTTTCAATATACATCTACTACATGGCAACAATATAATAAACTATGTACAGCTACATAACATGGAACTATTTCCATCACGCAGAAACATCAAGAATGAAGTCAAAGACGTGCTTTGAAAACTCCATAACTGCATTTGGTGAGTTTAATGATGAATTTTATGTCTCAAAAATATTTCACCGCAGTTTTGAGTTACAGTAAGCTGGAGCAGTGTTAATGGGAACTGCACACTCAAAACAATAATCTTTCCGTACATTATGTATCATCTTGATTTTTTGTTACAAAAAACATGTTTCGGCACCTTGGATCTGTGTCCTCAGGTAAAATCTAACTCCATTGGACCCAACTATCCAGAAATAGGGACTAATCATATGACAAAAATTCAGGATAACAGATGACGTCCAGAAACAATACACCATCACAAACCTTCAGTCTTATGTTAAATGGTGATCCCTCATGCCACTTCCCTTACACATGTCATTCAGAGTACTAATCTCTTTCGTGAGGCTCGTAAAACTGTCAGTCATGTTCTCTGAAGGTTCCGCCATGTCTTTTGCTTGGTGTGATGGTTGCTTATTTTCTGATAAGGTAAGATTGCTAGACAGATTTTCTGAAAGATGTGGATCAATTAAACCCATGCTCACCAAATCACCAGAGTCTAAACTAAACTGCTGCTGATTGTCTAAGTCAAATATACTATTGTCAGTCATTGCTTGGCCCATATTTTGAGAGGCAGCCATGTTTGATGTCACTGGAACATTCATTCCAGACAGTCCTATACCTGGAGCAAGGTTCACAGACACAGCAGCAGCACCACTGCCTAGTCCTTGTGCAATACCCATTGAACCCAGGCCAAGAGGGTTCATTCCAATCATGCCAGATACAGAGTTTGGAACAACGCACATGCCTGAATTATGTCCGTTTGCCATCCCTGGCAAGATGTCCACTCCAGCATACATCCCATTATGGACAATACCGCTCATCCCAGAAGAGTTATCGAACAAACCGATTCCTCCTCCGCTACTCAAATCGCTCACTCCGTGAATCACGTGACCCAGACCCAGACTTCCGGCAGATGCGTCAACAGGCACGTTCCTGGTCACTTTTCCAGCACTCATGAAGTCAGTGTGCCTTGCTGGCATATTGTACGTCACAGAACCCAGCAACCCCTGGTACGAGTGTGGTGCAGCCCCGGCGTAGTCCATCGGTGAAGGGGTACGGCCGACACTGTGAGGAGAGATAGAAGGCTGAGGAGAGGGAGTTGCCATGGCTGTATATGGTGACCTACTGCCTCCCTGAAATACGTACGGTGGAGGAAGCTTTGCCTCTGTAAACAATCATTACAAAAATAGGATTACTGAAAACCCAGATATGCATAACATGACAGCATGGCACACGTCCTCTGAATGTCCGAACGGCACAACATTGCTATAGATTCAGTCCACTGAAAGCAAAGTCAGAACTGGATGATGTGAAAGGCAATGGATGAAAAGAAGGAAGAAGGAACGAACCAACAGGAACGTGGGTCAAAGAGAAGAGAGCAGAAAGAAAACAAGCATAGGAAGAGACAGAACAGATAAAAGGAAGCTAGTGTGTGGACTGTTTAATAATGCTGCATCAACTACAGAGATTTAAATTTGAAATATACAGCCGGATGAATACATGTGGCCAATGTTGAAGTGGCAATGAGTGGAGAATGAACAGCCACAGTCTACTGTACATGTGAAACCCATCAGGATAGAAAGTACCCAGATGGGACCCAAACCAGGCACCTCTCTAATACAAGCCACATGCTTTCCCACTTTTACTACTTTGTTGAAGAATTAAGTGCTGGAAAAAAAGAAGAAAAAATGAATTTAAACTCAACTGCAAATGAGAATACAAGTGTGCAGGTGAAAATAAACTATGACAATGTTCTAAGATACAAGGTACCACAATGGCTGACACAGGTTTGCCCTAAAACATGTATATTATATTTTAGTTTACATTTACCAAATATTTAATTGTTTTTAATGAATAACAGATTTTAATTGTGACAGTTTATAGTTTTTAGGATGATACATTTTAACACGTATGGTTGAACCAACACAGAGCCACTGAGAATAGCCCCATGCAACTGAATCGCATCTGGCACAATACATTGGACATAAATGCTAGTTAGCAATAAAAGTGGTTGTAAACTTGCATTATGGTTGAAAGCTGTCAGATATAATCTCAAGCCGTTGCAATGCCACCATGCTTTTAACATTTAACACATAAAACATTTTCATACTAAATTGGTAGGAATGTTTATGAGTTTATGTATAACGTAATTATGTAAAGTAATGTAATGTTTATGTATAACACTTTCCATTGCACACAGTAATATGGCCAGTGGTATAGCATTAATATATTCAGAAATTCTCTGTTTGAGATTATTTAATTCTGCCAGACATGTTTTAAACATTCATTTACAAGTAGCTCTATAAAAAGAAATCACAAGCCAAGGGACTGGGCTGGCCAATAAATATTGTCACAGCGGGAAATTATGCAATATTCAAATAAAGTCCTTAAAATGTTCATCAGCTGCCAAGGAGTAAATTTCTGGAGAAATGAATGCCACATCACGGGACATGCTACTGTGCACAATTGAAAGTGTTATGAATCGAGTGCATCAACCTTAATGGACAACATCTGATGGGTGTTTTGAAGAAGAAACTTAGTTATTATGTGCCTCATTAATGGTAAATACTTGTATTTCAATTTACATTACTTTAAATAAACTTAAATCGACTAGTGTGTCTGTAAAAGTGATGAATAAATGCTGCCCAACTCTGTATTACTAAGTATAAAATAGAAATTATAAAGGTAAGCTGAACTCAAGAGGCATGAGGTTTATACAACGTTACATAAAAATTAATTAAACTACTCTAAAGTTATAATGAACATTTGCAGTATCATCTGCTTATCCTCATAAAATAAGGATATGAGATTGTATAATAAACAATTAAATGTAACATCAGACTCGCTGTTGCAGCAAATGGATGATTTACCTGTTGGTTCTCTCTTGATGACTGGCAACATTTGATGTGGTAGCGCTATATTTGGACCCTGGTCACTGCCCCCTGCATGTTGCATCTTTTGTATCCCTATTAACAGATATTTCCACATGAGCCACATGTTCAACCCATCATACCACTAATGGCCGAAAGTAGAAATATAAGATTATGTATTGTGAATGATCTCACACAATTTTGTTCATCTCTTACAGGTCCCAAAATTTTGCTTAGCAATTTGCTTTTAAATACTTGTAATGCAGCTTCTACGTACATCAGAAGATATTGTCACTCAACAATACAAAATAATGACAAAAGTGTAACATTTAACATTTTCAGTGCTCTGAAAAGAGGATGTGTCAGTAAAAGTTACAGAACTTAGAAAATGAGTACTTCTTGGAGGTATTCTTCTCTTAATTTCTTTATGAAACACACTGTTGGCTCATAGAATAGATAGTTAATTTGGGACGCACAGTCTGTTTATGGCCATACGTGCTTTAGAATTTACATTCAAAAAATGAAGTGAACCTCAGTGTGGCATTCTTGTCCCACCAGGATGGAATGCAACGCCATGACAGCACAACAGCATCACTTAAACTGGTGTTAGCAATCAACAAGATAAAATAAATTCATATCCCATCACAGTGCAACAGTTAAAACACAATAACAAAATTTAAATTAATTCTATATTATTAGTGCGCTGAATAAACAGCCAGAAGACCAATTACAGATACAGCACAAGAGAAGGACACAAGAACACAACAATAAATACAGAAAGGTAACAACAAAGACATAGTCAACAATTACTTGAGTGTAGAGGACATTAACACACAAAGGCGACATGCTACTCAACACATCGATATCTCTACAATAATAATTAAATTAAAGTAAGTTGATTAGATTCAAATGAGAAGAAAATATGCAAAGCAAACAGAGAATTTGTGTAATATGAATGATAAATCAGTCAGTGGTGAGTGGTGGATGAAATAAAAGGGAAAAAATATATACACATATTAAATGAGATTAATGGAAACAATTTTTGTTTCAAATACGTCAAAGTCCTGCAGACAACATCACCAGCTGATGTTCATCTAGCAGGACAGTTTTTAACTGAATGGCTGTAACATTATCTCAGACACCGAGCAGAAATTCAAAGACCGGCAGCTTCCAGAAGGGTTACCTTGCACAAGAAACGGTGTATCAGTGCTGTACCTCCTCTTATGTAAAGTCTGGAGTTTTAAATACTGTAAAGTGTTAGCATAGCTGTAATGCAAGAGGGGAAGTCAAGTGGTTAAAGAAAAAGGGCTGCAAACTTCTGCTGGATAAATTACAGTTTGCTGGCATCAGAATAATAACACCAATGACAAAGTCAGGTTGAATAAAGTCCTAACAGTGGGACTCAGGATAAAATGCAAGGCCAACCCATTAAAATTCATCTATATCCCTGCAGGATGGTACATTAATACACAGAATGTCCATAAAAAACCTTTACAACTTCAAAACTTGATAAAAAAATTAATAAGTTAAGATAACTGGATAGGGTTTGTTGCTTGTTAAACAGCATCTCTCAAAGTTTTATTCACATAGGTCAGTACACCTCTACATGTGCACCCTTAGTTGCACGTAGCACATCAAGCCGATACTCGATTTCTTCCTTGTTCGCTGAAGAATCTCTGCATTAATGGTTGCAATGACTTCCACAATCCTTCGCTTCATTTCGTCAATGTTGGGAACCTGTGTTCGGTACACAAGGTACTTAACATTACCCCAAAGAAAAAAGTCCAGCGGGGTTGTCGGGTGAACAAGGTGGCCACAGTATTGGACCATCTCTCCCAATCCACCTATCAGGAAACTGTTCGTTAAGGTAGCCACGAACCGCCAACCCCCAGTGGGATGGTGCTCCATTCTGCTGGAAGATGACATGTTGTTGAATGTCTTCCAATTGTGGGACAGCAAATTCCGTCAGCATGTCCAGATACACATTGGCTGTGATTGTTTTTTTTGGCGAAGAAGAATGGTCCAATTATTCGGTCACACATGAGTCCGCACCACACATTAACTTTCGGGCTATCGCGCACAAATTCTCTGGCTGCATGGGGGTTTTCGGATCCCCATATCCTTACGTTGGGCCTGTTCAGTAACCCCTACACATGGGACGTTGCCTCGTCACTAAAGAGAACAAGCTTAAGGAAGCCTTCCTCAACATCAATTCGAGCCAGCATGCCGACAGCAAATACTGTGCGGCGTGGCCCATCATCTGGCTCAAGAGCTTGCACCACCTGAACTTTGTATGCGTACAGTCTCAGATTCTTGTGCAGCACTTTGTGGACGGTCGAACAAATGCACCGCACACACACTCAATGTCCGCTACGCTTGTGCTTGGTCGGCCACTGACGTTTTGCTGCAGAACTCTGCCAGACTCCATAAATTTCCTGTGCCACTCACGAATTGTGGGTCTTGATGGCGGTTCCCTTCCATATTTGGTCCTGAACTTGCGCTGCACCTGCGTATCTGATCTTGTATCGATAAATGAGGATACAAATTGTGCCTTCTCCTGTGGAGTAGCCATTTCCTGTAATGTTAAATGTCAGTCGACGTGCACACCTTCAATTAACAAAAGTTATGTTATTAACACTAAACAAAATTCCCTTAAAAAAAGAGACGTTGTTCAACATGCAAAACATATCATCCAGTTATCTTGTATCATTATTTTTTATTTAGTGTTGAAGTTGTAAAGGTTTTTTATGGACACCCTGTATATATAGTGACAAAACCAAATGTAACAACAACAAAGTCATTCAGTATAAATACATGACAGCAGTTTGAGGTTTAAATGCAAAGAGACAAGAGTGGTCACTAAAAATACATCAATCTGCATGAATTTAAATAGACCAAGTGATGAAGCTAGTAGAAAAAGAGAAAGCTGAACTAAAAAGTAGAATATTCTCCTGTATATTGTTCAAACAAATATGGACACTAAAAACTATATAAAATAACTTTTATATGACACTTGATTACATTAAAAATCCCAACATGTTACACACGGTAAAAAAATTGCTTTCAAGCATTCACAAAATGTGCTGTGAAGATGGAAAAGCAACAAGGTATTTGTCATAAAGCGGACATGCAACCACATTGTGTGAAATTGCTGTACAGATACTGATTCGCAACACAACAGATGCCTGTGTGTTAGAAGGGTGAGACCAACCTATAGGAGCGGTTGAATGACTTTCTCCTTCCTGACTGAACTGAAGAAGAAGCAGAAACAGTGTACCCCACTCTTATATAGTTAAGTTCCTAGTTAGGCTTCCACATTCCAATTCTCAGGCCCAGGTTTCAGAGCTGTGACCAGCGTTCATGTACAAGTTCTAAAATGTCATATGTGCCACTGAGAAACCAGCAACGGCAGTTCCACCTACAAAGAGTCATTTATGGCTATGAAACACTGTGAATCCATTGGACTAACAAGAAAAATGAGATAAAAGATGCCCTGTAAAACAGACCAGCATCTCAAAATCGTCGGAAGCCAAAGCAAGAAAGGCCCTTAAACTTCAATACAACAAGGCAGCTGTAGTTTATACTTTGCAACCCTGTGACCTGGCTAGTAGAATTAATGTCTGAAATTGTTTTTTGCAGTCAGTTCGTGATGGTGAAAGTGACACTCATCTAACTTTTGCTTTCTGATAAAGCATATTTCCAGCTGCACAGACAATCGATATTGAGTCATTTTAATCCACGAAGTCTCTCTTCATGATGTAAACATTGGTATGTGATGCACAATGAATCCTAAATTAATTGCTAGGTACATATTCTATGCAGAAATAGTTAAGTCTGATGTGACAGCATAGCTCACAGGAGAAAAAGGGCCATACATATCCTTTCAACAGGATTCAGCAATTGTCTATGCTGCAGACAATTCTCTGGCAGCTTTGGAAGGGGTGTTTGGTGACAGAGTAATAAGTCATGGTTTATGGTCAGTCTATTTACCTGGTCCTAACCCTTGCAACTTTTAGTTATATGGAAATGCAAATTACAGAGTTCCTCAATGCACAACTTTCTCCAGTCTCCTTAATTTCACCCCTCTTAGGTCCAAATATTCTCCTCAGCACCCATTCCCAAACACCCTCAATCTCTCTTCTTACCACAATGTAAGACCTAATGCAACAGCTGAAATTATAGTTTTGTACATTTTGATCATTATATTTCAAAACAGCAGATAGGAAGACAAAAGATTCTGAACCACCTGGTCAAAAGTAATCCCTGTAATAATACGTTCTTAATTTCTTTATGGATGCAATTCTGATGTCACCATCATTGCAAAATATTTACTGTTAGCCACAATTTTTAGAGTTTTATAAACTGCCTTCATAGAATGAATCTGCCCTGTAGTCTGGTGGCAAGACGTGTACATACATTCCATTTTTGTATGCTTACCTTCTGCATTTTTCTGTATGATATTTATGCTGTCACCCAATAAATTATCATCATGCACAGACCAGAAGATGATGTGTCTGCCCCATTCATTTCAGTCCCTGTTTTCTTGAACCTTCCTGATGCCTATTCTAATGCAAAACCAAAAAGCAATAATGATAAAGCATCTCCTTGTTTCATACCATTTTAAACAGAAAATGCACCAGATGCCTTCGAATATGGATATTCGTGGCTTCTTTTTCTTGCTAAGTATTAGGAGCTGTGGTCTGTTACAGTAGCTCTTCATCAGATGTCCGTAGTTCAATGCTCTCATAAAGCTTTTCATACGAGGCACAAGACTTCCAGTCTTCTTGGTACTTTTGTACATAATATTAAATTGGTTCCATCTCAAGTTCCTTCATGACCCCATTTTTTTATCCTCCCATTTATCTCATGAAATTCATTTTGCAACCTATAATACTGTCACTATCATAAACCTTATTATGATTTATGTTAAACACATTGTAAGTGGCCTTACAAATTCCACTGGTTTATCAATGCTATATAATACGTAAGTTTACATGAAGTCACAGTCAATCAGTCAATATATGTTCCATTATACCCCATTTTTTCCCCAGTATCTGATGGGCACAGAATATCTGATCAGTAGTTGACCACCAATTACATCAAAATCAACAAAGAACAACAACAGAAATTTCATCGAAGCAAAGAGCCAACCTTGACAGAAGAATGATGGATGCAACTTTAACGCATAGCTGACTCTCATTATACACGCTTTCACTATCTGTAGTCTCATTTCAGTGTCATGAGGAGCACCAACATCCATCCCACCCATGACTTAGGCAGAAGCTGCAGTGCAGGTCAACTGAGTAGCATGTGCAGTTTCAATGACTTGCCCCAACATTTTGATTGCAGAAAATACAAATTAGGAGCATAATATATGACTGCACTTCACACAATGACCAAAAGACAAAACATCTGAGAAATCTTTGGGGATAAAGAGTGGTGCAAACTTGTAGCCAGTAACTCTGCAGGAGTCATAATTCTTTGAACCTGTGGACACACTTGGGAAACATTTAAACATGCTACATGAGACACATGTCCATTTAATGTTTCCAAACAGTAGTTTAGTGAACAGAAATCATTCAAATAATCATCTAAGTTTAATGAATTCTTCTAGGGCTACCAGCCGTGTAAGGTGGTTTAATGAAGAAAACACCAACGTTTTGAGAACCATATTCGTTAACCCTGAGGACGAGGAGAAGAATTCATTATACTTTGTTGCCGTGAAAGCTTCAGATCATAAATCCTCAAACTGGTCACCACACAAAATATGCATGATATATACCTGTATCTGTTTTATACAATTCTCTAGCTACGAGATGAAATTATTTTGATTTGAAGACTAATAACAGTGAAAAAGTAGTGGGTTGGAATACTGAAATGCACCTGATTTAATTTCAGTCAAGGTGTGGCCATCATTACAGAGATTTTTCATTACTTTTCTCAGTCCTTCACAGTCAGTGCCTTGTCAATCAGCTTAAAACATGCCATGGCAACCTCCAATTTGCTATTTAATATTATAACATGCCACAGCTGAACCAGCACAATGTAACAAGACAAATGACTGAATCAACAAACTACACAAAAACAATGCAGAAAAACAACAAAAGAACATGCAATGTCATCCCCGCTCAGTAACAATAAACATGTGCTCACTCAGAAATAACGTTAATATTCTGAAACCAATACAAAACTGTGCAGAATAAACACTGAAGCATAACACTGCAGACAAAATCTGACCAATGGACTCTACCCACAGGCTTCAAGGTGTTTACTGAGTTGCATTCAGATTTGTTGTACTGAAACTCTGACACGCTGCACAATGTTGTTACCTGTTACCACTCACAGCAAAATTACTTCCTTATCCACCTGCAGGTTGTAGCAGCCAGAAGTTTAATATGTGAAAGAGCAGAGCTATTTAAGTGTGTGGGTGTGCACGTGCGTATATGCATGTTTCAAAGTAGGTACATATCAACACTTCACATGACAATACAATTCCAGAGGAACCTGAAAACGGACACCAAAACTATACAGCATGAGATGACCAAGTGTTACATATTTACAAAGTTCTCCAATACTTTGTTCTGAGTATTGTTTCCTATTACTATACTTTTAACTCAAGCATCTTACTGCTGTCCTATCACATGACAGGTAATCAAACTAAGAAGGCTCGTTGACAACCGTTTCACTACTGCCATCAAAATACAATAACATGTCGTCACTTTTTATGTCTGCCGTGTTTACCATTGCCAAGTGACAAGCCTGGTCTCCAAACAAAATATATTTCTCCGATAAGACGCATAAGGGCTGCTGCCACTACAAATGTTCTATCTCATAGATGTCACATTATGTTAGTTCAATACGATCAGTCTGAGCCAAATAATCATGCAATAAGCTGGAGTCCTGAATGCCTCTACAATAGCATGTAACACTCAAAATCTTAAAAGGGTAACAGTCCCTTGGCCCAGAGTTTATTTAAACTACATCAGAATGCAATAATAGCCTACTAATGAACATGCACTAATATGGGTGGTAACAGAGAAAACACACCGAAAAGTACCGTACCTGAGGACCAGCAAATATCATAGCGACAACATTCGATCGGTCCTGTCGCAAGTTGAAACGACTGTATTTTTCATAAGGAATGGAGAGCTGGGTAGGAAAACTGCCAAAAAGGCTTCTGGCATATTACTACAACAATTTCATATACAAAAGTACAACTTTAATTATCACGAAGAAAAAATAGATTAAAAGAAAACCATATCAACCCTATTTTGTTTTATCAGCAAATGCAATTTACAAGACAGCTAACTAGTTCATAGAAACTATAACAGACTTTCAATATTAACTCTCCATCATTAAGCCGTAACATTCATGTGTTAAAATGGCACTTAACAATAAGTAAACATCCCAACAAAAATATATTCATATAGCAGAAAATATTTCACCAGTACTGAAACAAACATCACAGAATAATACCGCAAATACAGGACCAAGAGGAAAGAAATTAAGCCACTTGAAATGTGTGTATTGTAACCTGACTGAGCAATAGAACAGCATACAAGCTGAGTCATCTTTTACAATTTATTCACAAAATGGAGACTGATCCAATAACACACATTCCAAGCTGAAGACACCAGCCACCACCCAAGACTGAAAAACGTGTAGACAAGAGCAAATAACACCACTAAAACATCGCACATCTGCTGTCACCTGCCATGCTTGGCCAACCCATCGACAGGACCTGCCAGGCACTAATCATATAGGCAACAAACTAACACAGAAGCTGAGGATGAAGGCCAAATGTCAATGTATCAACAAAACTTTTGCTGAAGGGTAATTCTCATTATTTTTCTGTTGTTGATGTAAACAGGGAGAAGCAATATGGTATAAACACACATGCATGGGTGTTACAAGTCAAGGCAAACAGTCTGACGTTGCCAATAACTGACATTATCCATGAGACTGCTCTAATCAGTAACAACCACATAACTTTCCAGTGCAAAACATCACTTTCAGTTTTCAATAAAATGCAAGAAAAACTCCCGACTTTCTCACATTTCTGTCTCTCTTATTAATCTAATTGACCGAATATCTAATCAAGCATATTTATAAACTTATGCTCCCAAGTAATGCCAAAGCCCTATTATCAGACACTAACACAAAGAACAGTGGATTATGCATAAACACAACATAACACCAACACAATCTGTAATTTTGTCATCAAATCATTTTTATATTTCTCTAGAATCTGCTGTTCTAAGATCGCACCACCAGCAAATCAGAAGACGTGCGCGCACTCTCAGACGATTAATGGGAACTCCAAACATTTACCTACTTCACTAAGCGTTGAAATGGAGGACAAAGGCTGAGGGCAAGACTTGGTCCCATAATTATAACTCATATCAATTCTCCTTCAGCTCCTTAGTAACTGAATGAAACCTCAGCTTCTGTTAACAACTCTCTAAATCTGTGACAACAAAACGCAGTATCACACAATACACTGAATCAGTGTCGCAAAAGACCCTTGTCTACAATTTTCTCAGATCAGTCAGCTCAAGAAATAACCCCAGCGTAACACAATAGTGGCTGGTACTTACTCAACTTTTCCATGTCCTCTAACTGCTGTAAAGTATTAGGACCCATCTCTCCATATTTGTGCCTCTTTCGTTTTAAGACACTTGGATCTATAAATAACACAAAAATAAATAAAGACATCGGAAAACACAACATTAAAACCAGTTACTAAGGAAGAAATGGAACTGAGATAATAACAGAAATTCAACATCTGGGCAACAGTATACAAAATGTGGAGAACGTTAATTATGCAATCCCCTAACAAGGCAACATTTATAAAAAATTATTCACATAAGCAGTATAAAACACCATAAAACCACAAATATGTCATAGTAACATGTAATCCTATAAATTCACATAACATTTTAAAAATCTCCAATGCTTTCAGACTAGACTATGGTTATTTACTTTAAAAACCAGTTAATCATAAAACGTTTCAACATTTCCATATAAAATTATCAGAAACAAACTAAACTATGCCAAACTTTGTAGAAAAATTATTCACTGATCAAAATAAGGCAAGGTAAGGTGTCTGTCAAATATTCAATGCAGATCCCAAGGACTTGGGTATCACTGGACTAGCAATCAATTAATACATTTCAAAAAGAGGTAACATTCTGAAACAAGGCGCAAAGCTATGTGAAAATATCACGGCCCCTGCTGACGGCACTGTCTGCCGGGATAACAATACTGCCACCCTCCACAGGGCTGTAATAGAAGGACATCTCATCAAACTCGGAGACTGTGGCATGAGGAGCCACATCCGTGTACAAAGCATAGTGCTCAGCCTCTGTCAGCTCTGCCTGAACCTGGGGTGGTGCACTGAGCTGTTGCACGGGCTCACTGCCACGACGTAAGGAAACAGCAGCTGATACATTACCCACACTTCCCTCCCCACACATGCTAGCTGCCCGTGGAGCGAGTGCGAGCTCCTTCTTGTCCGAAGGTTTTGGTTTCTTTGAGAAAAGCTTTTGGAATAAGCTCGGTTTTGGCTGCTTTGCAACCGTACCATCGGGTGTCGGAGGCAAGTTCTTGTCTGGAGCATGCTTTGAAGCAGGTTCCTGAGGGAAGATTGGATGATCAGGCCTTGCTGGTGGAGTGGGAGGACTCTTGCGAATCCTTTTTGGGGGTAGAGGTGGAAGTTTGGAGTTGGGAGACTCGGGAACAAGAGATGCTGATGAAGAGATATCACGCTTGTTATTCTGATTTGACAGACCCTGAGGTATGACATCTTCATAACGTCCAGATGCTAGATCTATAAGTTCAATTGGATTCTTCATTGCAAGTTGTAAGCTAGAATAAGTCTGATTGTCGTCATCATACAAATCTTCAACATCCATATCAATGACCTGCGGAGAATGACTACTGTCCAACTCAGGGGAGAGACGTTCTTGAGCAGTAGTCTCTGCAACACCTTGGTTTAACATACGAGCACGAGTGTCTGAATATATCTCATCCAACTCAGCCACTTGAGACAGCAATTCATTTAATGATCGACAAGTCTCTCCCTGAGAAATAACATCCTCATTATCACTGGAGGCCAATCTGTCATTCTTTCTCTCACCTTCATTCTGAATGTTTGCATTAGTATCCATTTCTCCTAAAGCTGCTTTATTCCTTTTATTTATGGCTGTATAATTATAGCTGCTTGATCTTGTATCTTTTATATCTATTACATCTGTCATTATTACATTATTATTAGTAGCAGTAGCAGTAGCAGTAGTAGTATTGCCTTTAATATTGCATATTTCATTCTCTACTGTGGCTGATTTGTCTATCAAATCCTGTGCCACACCAAAAGTTGAGGCTCCATGTATACTAGGTGGAGGAACAACTATCGTATGTTCAACAGGCTTTGTTAACTCGACTCCATCAGAAGCTTCTGAAATTGCCTGCTCTGGCCTGATCATGCGAACCCAAGAGGATGAAGTTATATCTGCACCATTTCTTGGGGGCCCACCAGTGAGCAGGGCCGTGTTGGAAGCCAAGATACTCGAAAACATTGAGTAGTTGCCCTTTCTTCCAAGAGCCTTCCGAAGAGACCAAAATGCAGGCCTACCTGAATCAAGGGGGAGATACTCAAACGGTAGAGGTTCACTAGTCGCTCCATCTGACGGCCGACGCAGCTGGATGTTCACTTTGATGGGAGCCTCCACTTCTAATGACTTGTAGCGTGGTGTCCGAAATGAAATAGCGACCTGTTTGTGAACATGTGTTGGCTGGAAGTCACCAAAACCCTCCCACAAGATGTTCCCATCTCGTTCCTCATAGAAATGAAGTTGGATGTCCTCTGAAAAAGGCACACACACAGTGTGAGCAAGTCACTTAAAATAATGTCTGAGGTGTAGTGCATGTTAGTGTGCAAATACTAGTTTGTATTATTTCACACAAATATTTCTCCACAACAGAAAAAATAGAATATACATTTGTAAACTTTTTAGTGATGATGGTCCCATGAGGACTGGAACATGTCTGTTGTAAAGTAAACAGAGGAGAAATAAGGTTGGTATGTAAGATTTCACTTGACTTCTTTTTTAATTAACACCACACAAAAGGAATCTACTGCAAAACCTGGGTTCAGTTCCTGGCTTGGAATATTTCTTGCTGCTGTTGCATTCAGCCTCGCTTAGGGGGCCACTCAGCCTATTCAAAGGGTACTATAACCATTCACTTCCATTTAGTGTTGAAGTCAAGAATACGTGGAGCTATACTGCCTCGCATCCATACATCTTAATGGTGTAGAGTTTAACCTTTTAAACACAGCATTTAAATTATGTGGACTACACGCTTGTATGGATTTCACTGGAATTTAAACCACCTCAAAGTGCTGCATGCTACGAAGTAGTGTATTTAATGCATTTTTAAGCTAAAAACTCAAAACAAAAACCCTATCACTGTGAATGAACCCATTCACCTGCACAAGAGGTTTCAGAATAATCAGTCTTCATTTAAACACCTAGGTTGGATTTTTGCATTTGTTCACTACTTTACATTTATTTTCAGTTTTCTGATTTTTCTATATTTTAATTGATTATTCTTCAAATTTAACCTCATACAGCGTATTTACAATGGTAGAAAACCTTGGAATCGACAGTACTTAGGACTGCTACAATAATGTTTGTTCTTCCAAGCCTCAAACTGAAATGAATACAATCTTTCTCTTTGGCTGTGGTTTATTTACAGAACAGTTTATCAATGATTAGTTTGAAATAAGCCAGTAAAAATGGCCTACGGCATACAGGTTCATATTTGGAGTAAACCTTTTAGTAGACACACATCACATGAATAAGTAGGCAAATATTAAAGATTATCTGAGTTGTGGCTGATTTTTCTCCAGCTGGTATTAGAGGACAGAGAGTCGTATTTCGTTCCATCAAAGGTCAATTTCATTTCACTCCCTCTGACTGACTTCATATAAAAATTTGAATCAGTTTGGAATGTATGAACTCTGAGGTGAGTTGACAGGAAAATATTATAAGTTATTCATAGAGTTATGCAGTCAGTCTAAAAATAACTTCATTCTTCATGTGTTGAGACAAGAACAGTTCGCTTATATAACAACTGATACTTCAAGACTAATAAAACAGACCTGAAGGAAGCTGACCTGATGAACAAATCTGCCAACCACCCCAAGGGGTTTCTAAACTAGGCAGTCTCAGAGGCCAGAAAAACAGGGTGAAAATAACAAATATTCCACACCAAAAATATGATAAGGATGATGACATGATGATGCCACCCCCGTTTGCATTCGACAGAGAGTCCAAGTGAGGTGAACCCACACACAGTCCATCAGTTCACTGGTGACACAGCTGGCAGAAAGCAGAATGTGGCACCCCACATCCACAAAGATTCTAATCCATATAGCATTTCTCTTTCATGTACCCCTACACTTTTCAAACAATGGAAGTGCTGCTGACCTAGAAGAACCAAACTGTTACTGACTAACTAAATGGCTTAGGGAACCTGAAGGTTCATCACTGAATTAACCGAAGCCCTCCACCGGTCTCTGTCCTGGGCCAGCAAAATCCAATTGCCTTCAACTCCTATCTCCCATATGGGTCACTCATAAAACAGAGGTTAATAAGCACAAAGGACAACTTCATATTTTATAATGTAAAAAAGGAAGACTGGCCCACAGAAAATCCTCTGGTATTTTAGAAGTTCATGAATCAAAAGATTGTTAACCATTCAGTCAGAATACCGACTTGAAAATGACATATAAGCTAAGTTTCAGAACTGTTGATGAAAAGTAACCTAACGTTTCACGTAGTATCTACATGAAGAGTGATCTGGAGGCACACAGTTTTGATGATGATAAAAATAATAAAGAAATTATTGTCATCTTACCTTTTGTAACTTTCTCACAAAGTAGGATTATTTCCTTGCCTCCCGCAACTGTACACGAGCAGTCACTCAGCTTGCAGATAACAAGATCAGACATCGCCTCTGGAACAAAATAGAGACAAGATGTTATACATCTTTTTGACAGATTACATGTTCTCCACTTCCATCTAGAGCACAACACAACATGAAGGTGCACAGCACGAATATTCAGCTCTATAACAAATATTCCACATTTCAGCACAGAATGAAACCAGTTCGATAAGGTTGCCAACATGTTGGCACCCTTGAAGAACTGTGAATAAAGGATGGTTTCCATAATGTGCACAAAATTCAATGAAACGCAGTCACAAGTAACAGACATTACTGGACTGCGCAACAACTCAGGTAGTTAGTCACAGACTTCTCACCAAAGATACGTCAGTCCATGTAGTATTTGAGGGGAGGAAAAAAAATACTACTGATAGAACGACATCTAAATGCGATTTCACACAATGAAGGTTTGCTTCCATGCCGTTCATGCTAATGCCAGATTTGCTAGCCACAGCATCTCAGTACATAAACCAATTTCTGTTTCTCCAAAAATTGCTTTTTTGTTGACATTAACACATCTCAGTACATAAACCAATTTCTGTTCCTCCAAAAATTGCTTTTTGTTGACATTAACGTTCATGAATTATTCTTGTAAACCTACCCTTTCAAGAGACCTCACAGAAAGTAACGTTTGATAATAAATACACGCGGCGCTGCAGAGAATGACGTCATGCTTGTTGTACAAACAAATGACGCAGCAGCATTGGATATGAAGAAAGTTACTGGAGTAACACAAATTCAGTGTTGCCAATGAGAATGGCAAAATGAAATTTATTCGTCGGAGTAACATCTGAAATCTGAGGCGCATTAACTTTTCGGACACCTGCGGCTCTCGACTTCAGCAACCATGTTCCATCAATAGCAGCAGCAACAACAAGGACTTACTCTTGTCGTAGATGGGGTCGGATACGACTGGTGCCAGCGGCAATGTGAACTTATCACGTTCTCCATCTTCAAGGAAGACTTGAAAGCAAAGTCGAACAGCATTCAAGTCAATACTAGTAGGCTGATTACGGTGTGAGAAGCCAGCTGTAAATAATAACAGTAAAAATTATGACAACAGCATAATTTACTACCTACCAGCAGAGCAAAATGGGTGTTATTCTCTATGTAATGGATGCAAGGATCAACTGCTGACATCAAAATTAGTACTGGAGAGGAGAAAGAATTTGAAAATGTCATGGTTTGCTTATGAAATGGCATCTGACAGTGTTAAATATACCTAGATAAAAATGCAATAGAACTGAAATTAGTGAACAGTAAAACTTGAATTCTAGAAGTTATCTGTGGAGAAATAAAGCACAAAACTACAGTGGAAAACAAACTAGGAATTGTTATAGTCAACAGAGGAAAATTTCAGGGTGACTCATTGTTTTCATTCCTTTTCTGCACAGCACTTATTCCCTTAACTCATGAATTAAATAGATCTAAACTGGGCTTTAATTTTACAGTAAGTGTTCAGTGGTATGCTATTACGACACATGGCCTGCTGGATCCATGCATAAGCTGTGGCATAATGAGTAAAGGTTAAGTCGCACTATACTTGCTTATAGAAAAAAATTATCATCCACTGGATACACGTCATTAAGTCATCAAAATAATGCATGCTGTTTAATCAGTCAGTTGGAAAGCATTTTTGAGCTGTATTACTGTGTTTTATGGCAGTTTAAAGATACAAACAGTTTAAATAAATGATAAATGTCCCTAATCCAAATACATTTTGGCATTTCATTAACTGTCTTTAAACATTTATGACTTACAAGAGTTCTCTACATAAGATGTAAGCAAAAGTCACTCGCTCAAATACTAGACCAACAAAAATGGTAATATCACGTTAGTTATTTTCCACAACTGTACCAACAGCTAAGACTACATTGAAGAACAAATGGCAGTTGTAAATGTTACGTCTGCATGGCTCTGGTACAACCTATTGTATGTATTACCTACAGCACCTGAGCAAAAACATGTGAATGTCAATCACAATAGCCAGTTTATAACCAGGAATCGAAGCTGGAATACCCCAAATGCAGGTAAAACACCTTACTACACGTCCAACATTCTTTCATAGGTACAACCTGTTCATAAAGCACTGCAACTTCTGGTAATGTCATAAGCACTACGTAATTGTGTACTTACAACGAAATGGATCCACCCTGATTTCTTCACGAAGTTTGAGGGCCTCCTCAATGTCTTTCTTCTTGACACACTGAATGCCAAGGTTTGAGAACGAAACAGCCATAGCCTCATTATTAATCCGTGTCGTACATATTCCCTTTTTGCACCCCTCTTTCCCCACTAAGTTGTGTGGGTGAGCACGATATGGAGTATCTTTGGTGACGCAAGAGACAACAACAACAGCTGGACCTTTGTAGCCTACGATCTACAACAATACAGCACACACTAATTCCACAGGCAAATACAGAAAAAGAATAAGTCACTCATACTGGCCATGCCAACCTGATGAACAAAACGAGATTTCATTTGTTGCCATATTTTAAAAATGAACTTAATCTTGCCTTTAACACTTGATATTTCAAATGGCCTCAAAATATCTCATGCCCTAATTTACAATGGGGTAGTGGCTTTTCTCCCAACTTGCAGGCATACCAATACTGAAGATTTCTGTCTTCTGGGTTGTTGCACTGTGTAGTCATCATCGCCCTGATGACGGAGGCAGTATGACCTCTGAAACGTTGGTTAATATCGACCAGATCACACAGCGCAACAACCCAGAAGACAGAAATCTTCATACTCATAGCCCTGACGATGGAGGCAGTATGACCTCTGAAACGTTGGTAAACATCGACCAGACTACACAGCGCAACAACCCAGAAGACAGAAATCTTCATACTCATCGCTGTGGAAACCTCAAATCTTACATACCAATACTGCCAACACACACATTTAATTAATCTGAAATCGCCATTTTCAATTCAAGAAATAAAATTAGTATCTACTTTCTGCTTAATGTCTTAGGTAAAAAATAAAAATCTGTTTTAATGCTAATATTGCCAACAGACACATTTAATTAGTACTGCACTAAAATACATGACAGCAGAAGCCAATGAACTGTTATCATTCTATTATCATACAAATTAAAGAGTTTCAGTAGTGAACATTTTTGGAAGCAAAAAAAAAAATATATATATATATTTATTTATTGCATGCCACATTTTAACTTTTAAAACCAACACAAGCCTTTTTGGTACAGAATAACACAATGCATCAAGTTACTGACATAACTGTTCCATACAGTACGATGACACCAAACAAAGCACTTCCAAGAGGCTTTGGCATCACATATCCATTCCCAATTATCAAAACTGTCACTATAAATAACACTGGACTTCCCAGACACCAGTAATCACACTGCAGACAGCTTCAAATTTATCATCAGTGTCATAAGTTACTGCTAAGATCATGCAATCTTTGCAGTCAAACCTGATACCTCAGTGGCCTACATACTTCACCCACAACATACGAGTCATCAATTGGCAGAAAAGAAATCACTACAGAAGCACTAGAACTCACCCTCAACAAACAGGCAAATGCCATGAAGGTTAAGAAGATCATAACTGGATGCATTGTGGACAAAAGACCTGAGAAACATTTATATTTTACCTGAATTGTTGGAAATGTTTTGTTCTCCGGGGTACTGTTCACTCCTGGTATGCTGCCGGCCGATCTGCCTTCGCACTCGTATCGAAAACGCAGCGCTTTAGACGCCGGCTGCTCGGTGATCTTAACATACACAGACTTCTTCCTGGAGCTCTCCATGTCAGTTTCAGAGAACAAAGTGCTGACATCTGCAAACCCTGGGTCTGTTGTCTGGATGACTTCAACTGGAACAGAATATCAAAGCGGTAGAGCAACAGAAAACTTTATTTCTTGTTCTGCGCACCAGGACAGAGGAAGAGGAAGCAACACGACGGATCGGTTTCCAAATCAAAAGTTGCAACATTACAATACAAAGGTAAGCAATATTTTGTAAAATAAATTAGGAATGTGAATCACTCTGGGTCACTAAACACTAAAGAATTTATTACACTCTCTTCCTCATTCATGAACTGGCTTAGAAATGCGTGTTTCATATAACATATATTACATCATACAAGAGCACATAATTTATCCTCATATTTCACTACCATGCTTTTGCTGTGCCATCTGCCCAAGCAAACTTCAGAGATGCCAACCTCAGAAAGACTGATCAAATAATTCCCGAAGTAAAAAAATGAAATATTAATTGTATGAAAAACACATTATAGACGTATTTACGTCAAAAATGAAATATTAATTGTATAAAACACAATACATAAGTAACCTCATCCAAATCACAAATTAAGAAGAGTAAAGACATCACAATAATAAATCCACGGACAGAGTCCTTCTTGAGAAGGCAGTAATCAGCCGGCCACAATATTCTCAACCTTTGTGGAACCGAAGGTTCATTATCGTGAAAAAGGGACTAATTAGACTCAGAGACATCTTCACATTGCATTTCTTTATGATGCATTTTAACCCCATCGTCCCACACACAACATGGCCTCCTGAAATGGTGAATCACTTCAGGCCTTCTGCATGTCCTTCCCATCTATTCTATATGTGCTTCATGTCCCATTGATATCATTCTCAATGCAAGGATATGGCCACCCAACACACTGAACACCAATCCCTACATTTTTTAATGAAAGAAAACATGTTCCCAAAAAACTGGAATCACTGATGAAGTCCAGGGCCATGGGTGTCCAAATGTGCTGGAAGATTACGGAAGACCTGTGGCACTGAGTGATCCCAAACACATTTCTCCGTGGGTAGTTCTACAGCAAAATATTGGCCATACTGAACATGTATTCAACTAAGGATAAACTTCCGTGTGTTGGTGCTTGTATACAAAAGCATAAATGTACTGTAATGTAATGATGACAGAATATGTGCAAAATTTAACCATGTTATTATGTATTATCCGTGATCAGTCAAGTAATAAGCAGCTTACATCTGGATGACTGGGTTTCAAGCTGAATACGATGAAGACAGATCTGTGTCACAAGAAATACAATCCTACAAAAGCAAAATGTTGCCGCAGTATGGACATATGTAAAGACTGGAATAACATTGACATTAACATGGGGGGGACCAAACAAACAGTGACTACCAGGAATTTAAAAGGCAACTGGTGGAGGGGCCTGGAACAATAACAATTACGGAGCATACAATCGGGAAACGTGGAGATGGGAACACGACAATAAGAAGCATCAACACTATTTAGTCTGAGTTACTGAAGAAGCATCTTCAAATTAACTATAAAGAAATATAAATAAACTGAGAAGAAATTCAAGATAGTAGCAGAACAACTCACTAACTTCACAGACTTTGATGTAAAGACTGCACTAAATTTCTTTCTTATGTCTGCCAATGAGTAATAATAGAATTTAGACAGAACTGATACCTTAAATGTGAATGCACAGAGCCAATGAGTAATAATAGAATTTAGACAAAACTGATACCAACAACTGCCATCAACAAACAGAGAATCGTCCACTTACTGACATCACTTATGTTGAGACTGTCCTGTCCTGACAGACCATGTGCCATGCCTGCTACACTTGACAATCTCCCACTCACATCTGAAACAAGCAATTCATATAATTCGTCCACTGGCAGCATCAAATGGTATTTGTAAATCATGCGTCACAAAAATCGAATGGGGGAATGGTATTTGTAAATCATGCGTCACTAATTTCGAAGATTGTGGGAAGTGGTTACAGCCTGCATAAAGTTATGATACTGGCATCCCACTACAGGGATCAGAAAAATCCAGAGAATATTGGAGACAGGACAGAAAATGACACAATTAAAATTCGAATCTGAGGCTTCCTGACCAAAAATCACCCAATTTCATCAGCTTGCTGGCAGCAAACAAAATACTGAGCTAAAAACTATTGCAATAAATGAATGAGGTTGAGCAAAAATACAAGAACAATTATCTGAGTATGGGAAAAGGGCAAAATATTTTCACCCTCCAACAGCCAGCCACACTCAAAACTAACAACTCTCTCCCAGAGCCATTTCAAAGACCTGAACCTGGAAAATGTACCCCTTTATAAATTTTAACCATCCTCATCCACAGAAAAGATGTAGGTTCTGAAATATTTAATGCACCATCACAATTAAACACACACTTTCATCAAATAACCATGACTGTTTAATATTTACACAATTCATGGCCACTTGTATAGGATGAAAAACACTATGCATTGTAGGACCAAACTACCACAGATTTAGACAAAAATTAAGCCTGCTATGTTACATGTCTGCCTCTTCATGTCATATCACACTGCAATGCTGAAATAAAGACTGTCTCCAGAAAGACAATTTTCTATGTACAAGCTGCAACTTACGCAATGAAGTGACCAAAAGCACTTTATTTGAACATGGTACATAATTCAAGAACAGGAAAGTTTTATTGCATTTACAGGAGCTACACATTGACACCATCTGATCTGGAGTGTCACTCCCATGACCTGATGACATGCAATCACTAATCACCAACAGTCTCATTGCTGCAGTGATCATAAAAACAGAAAACACACATGTAAATACCTACATATGTATGTACATATGTGCATGCATGCATACATACATGCATACTACACACATACATAGGAATGCATACACAAAAACAAATAATAATCAATATTTATCCATTTTCTAAAAGGAAACTTCCAATAACACACAACAAACATAACACAGTGCCATGTTCAAAACATGTTAAATGACAACTCTGTGCTAGAACAGTCAGAACTGCATCACAACTATTCTAAAATTCACTAATGATGGTGAACGAATGAAAGAACGAACGAACACACATATATATAACGTAAAAACTGCAAGAGATTTTGGATGTAATGGGTATCAAAGACTGGCTAAAGCTAAGAGTCCTTATTACCGTGCATTTACGCCTGTCCTCTCGTTTACACTGCAGAATAACTTACTGACGGACTCGCCTAGTAACCAACTGGATGCTTTACTAAGTACAGGACCTTATCATTAATTACATCAAGAAATTTGGTACTCCCATGAAACCAAATGGGTAATGACTATCACAAAAGAGCCCTGAACTGACTATTGTCTTCAGCCACTATAATCTATTTTACCATCTTCACAACCCTCTTCTCTAAAATCCACTGTAATGTTGTTTTCCAACTGTGCCTCACACTTCCCTGCAATCTCAAGCACCCTATTAGCATTATCCTCCAAGTACTCCCTTTTCCAGAGGTTTCAAACCCAAATTTTGAATGTATTCTTGTTTCTCTGTGACCTATCCATCACAAACATGTCCAATGCTTGAAAGAACAAATATGGATAATCTGATTGTTCAAGTGGAATGAAACACAGAATTACAATTACTGTTTTAAAAATCAGTAAGATGTCGTGATAAGAAACGCAGTTCTTCGGACCCCAATTAAAGCAACGATTACAAACAACACCAAAAACGAGATGTGGTCAACTTTAGAGCACACAGTGGGTTAAGATGATTATACAATTTTACACAAACATATCAACAAACCCCATAATAACACTGTAATGAGCCTGAAAACCCTATCAGCAACAGTAATTTTCATGGAGTAAAATGCAAACAGCATCCATACACGACAACATGGTGACAGTGTGCAAATGTAGCCATGCACAATATATGTAGAGCAGTTTATAAATTTGAATTTAAACAAATTTGAAAGAAAAAAAATCACACGCATAATTAGAAATTTAAAATATTAATCTGACATCTCTGTAAAGCTCCTGCAGGAAATGTCAGCATTTTCAGTCCTTCCCATTGCAAACTACTTACATTATCTGCGCATGCAAAATTAATGTTAACATTTGAAGTCACATTACGCAGTTATCAGCATAAACTCATAAAACTAGAAAGAAGGTACTTCCTGGTGATTCCACCCTAATGGGCTCATGAACATTTGCATCCCTGCCATAGAAATTAACATGTGCAAGGTAATATTTGTGTAGGTCAACAATGTCATCACTGCCGTCTGTCACAGAAAGTACAGGGGATCGCATGAGTTCACGTGCCACTGACAGACTGAGCCAATTCAGGAACTTCCCACTATTTTACAATAGGAAAAGATTTTACTGGAAATAAATTTGCATGTAAAGTAGTTCTGAAATTTGTTTGTTAAGTAACAAAAACACATTCCAACTCATTACAGCAACCAAAGCTAAAAAATTAATTGTTTCAAAAATGTTTCTGATAAGACATTCTATCACAAAACAGAGTGCTTCTGGACAGAAACCATGAAGCCTGCATTCCTACTGTAGAGACTAATGTATGTTAATGTCATATTTTAACTTAATTATATAATTTAAATTTATAACACAGCAACACAATTCAATTTAGACCATGGGTTAGAGAGCTTCACTCATGTATTAGAGTCACATGTTTTGTTGCCTAAAAGTATAAATATGTTACAGATTACAATTATTTACTTTTCTCAGTTTTTGAGTTCTATCTGGCACTCTGATTTCCACGAAGGTTCCTGTCCGGTACATTCGTGCAGTTAACGATTAAGACTTTTCACGGTCGTGTCATTGTAGACTTTTGTTAACAGTTTCAGGGGGTTACGACATGTAAGATATGAACATAAATGCGTTTCCTTTTTCAGAATTACGCGCTATGGTTCTACTTCCACGTAAAAAATAACGCGTATCTGCAACACCAAAGATCGAAGGCGAATTTGCTACTTCATTTCAAGACGCTGCAGACGAGCAGACTATATTTCACGTAAACTGCAGAACGTCTCAGTAATTTTAATGCCCTTCCCGAACAACCATTTCACTTACCAACCATGTCACAGCAAGCTGTCTGCTGCTGCACGAGTCGGAAGATCACTCCATGGCCGTTTACACACAACTGGGTCAGTACTTCAGGGCGGTCCGCGTACAGAAATATCCTTATCGACGATTTCTTGAAGCAATGAACGGACCCGGATTTGTGTGGTTGTCAACATTTACAGTCTATTTTACAATATTAAATTATATAACACTGCGTGGGCAGCCAGGAACGTATAAGAAACGTATAAATGGACTTTAACAGGACAGTCGACTAACAAACTGACAACTCTTCACTCAACAAAAAGCACGTATCACGAATTTGATTAATAAAGAGGGACATCACAATTTTTTATACAAACAAAGAGTTCCGGGTACTACTATTACTACGAGTCGGCTTTGCTACTCGACAGACGTCAGTCTACATCACGAAACGTTACGTCACATTTGGGTAGTGTGAATTTGTTTTTCAAAGATCTACGACCCAGTGTCGTCACTACCACACAAGTTCGGGCGTCGCCATGTATGCATGCACACTCCGCGCATACACAACTTAGGTAACAACATGACGATCATACCAAATGTCGTGATAACCGGTCAAGTGGTTAAAAAGTTTAAAGCATGCGGATCTCACAGGCCTTACTTTTCAAGAGCGTTCACAACCCTTTGGATCGACCAATAAAATCGCTCAGTTCATCTCTCTGCACGCACGAAGTAACTAATGAACGGATTTTTATGTAAACTGATACTGGAGATTTTCAGGAAAAGTAGTCGAGCTAAGCAGTTCAGAATGACTAGAAATCAGATTTGTTTTATTCCCTTATATCAGACTTAAACTTCTCTTTTTTATATATGCAATGATAGCGAACAAAAAAACCACAACACTGGCCGCTTATTCATTTGCTAGAGATGCCTAGTTATGATGTCTCACTGTGAATGTAATGTTTTAATCCGAAGAGCAGGGATGTTAGCATGTCATTTATAACTCCTGCCAAACATGCCTATTAAGTGCACGCTGTATACTTTTACAATCTTAGATGGCCACCTTCTGGCGCAATGTAGTTTGGCAGAAGTCTACCAACGTTTCAGAGGTCCTTACTGCATCCATCATCAGGAGATTAAACACGTCGGATTCACTGCAATGGGAACCTGAAATCCTACTTGTTTTCCTTAAGGTAAGTAGGCTAAACACTATACAGAATATAAAACATTTAATTACCTTGTACAATTTTTAAAATTCTGAATAGAATAGAATTTATTTACATTCCATAGATCCTTCATAGGCCTAAGTCAAGGATGTAGAGCAGGTCATATCACAAATAAAATACCTGTCCTGGGAAAATAAAATATATATACACCTATACACACATCAACACTTGTGAAAACCAATAGTCTGAATTATCCAAAAATGGCCAGTGTTATCCAATTCTGTACAAGCCAGCAACATGAAAATCCACCCACACTGGATAAAACTGTTTCACATTACAAATTAATGGTAACTGTTTGTGTTGCTGGCTACAATACTGGAAATCAGCACACAGCTGTAATTTTTCTGTTTATAACATACAAAACAAAATACAGCATGCTTTTATGTAAGTACTTAAAGTGTAAAAGTGAATACTTAGCATGTACAATTGCCTTCCACATCCTAGTATTTCTTCCGCACCCATCATACCAGGAATATTTTTTTAATGTAACTGTTGCAACCACTAACAGACTGACCTTGAAACTTTTTTTTCTTTCTAACTTCTATGTTATCTGAACTACATAAATTCTGAATGACTTTTTACTGTCAAGCCTGCAGACCTGTCCTGTGCCTTGATTACACAAACAAGAATAATGGCTCTATGACATAGTAAGCAACATGTTATACCTACATAATTCTCATTACTGTTTTCAAAGTAATTTTATATTATTTTCCATTCTCAGAATATTCTGCCTGTTCATTATATGTAGGGTGCTTGAAGATGATGACAGCTGTGTGTCACCCTCACCTGTAAATGGCTTTTTTGGACAAAAAATATCCTTTGTATTCAATACATAATTATTCCGGTTCTGAACTGTTTCTCCAAGGATAGAGGTTAACATTACGGATGCAGCAAAAGCAAAACACTTTCCCACAGACACAATGTCATAATTTTCCTTACATCCGTTATGATAAAGGGCAATAAATACTTAAAATTCTTTAAAATTATTGTCATATAAATATAGTTTGCCGCATGAACAAAAGAAAATAGAAGACTGAATGAAGTGGTGATTTCCACTGGTTTGAACATGTGGCAAAAAGTCACTGCAGCAAAAACCAAATTACAGGATAAATGAGGGAGCCACAGTGTCATGAAAAGCGGGAATCAACTTCACATTGTATCTTTTATTCTGATTTGTTTCTTTACGAGCTTTATGAGAGGAAACAGGGTTACAACCATCACAGGTTAAAGGACTTGAACAGGTGAGGGCACAATTTAAAAAAAAATAATTTTTACTGTAAAGTGCGGTGAAATGCATTTGTGTTAAAAAAAATTAACAGCTTCTCAGCTGTGTATGTCACTGCGCTCCAAACAATGAAGTTAGCTCCTACAGTAGTTCAAGGAATGTGCCACTTCAGCTTTTGGGTAACAGCAGCACTGAATGTCTGGAATTAACCAATGTTTCAGCAAACACTCAGTTGCCATTTTCAAGATGGGTATGAGGTGGGGTCAGTTCAGAAGGCCTTGTATAGGGTGGGCAGTGGATAGAACATAAATTCAATGATGCTGATTGCTAGAGGAGAGGATTGGGCCGCTATCCAATAGGAGAACATGTTGTGGCTGAGGAATGGAGGTGGCAGGAATATTGGGAGTTGATGAAGAGTTTCTGCTGGATGTGAAAGGATTACAATGATTACGTGGAAGGGATCGGCAGATGTTCAATGGAGTGGTGGTGGACAGGGCTCTCCTATCACTGTGGTTAACATTGAGCTGTATGTGCTAGAAGTTACTACTACTAGAAAACACCTCATGAAATATCAAAAGCCACCTGGTGCCACAATGCTGATAGGGTCATTCCATGTCAAATCAACAAACGTCACAACCTGACCCCATCAGAAATGATACTGAGAAAGCCTTATAGA